TTGTACGTCAAACTTGACAAATAGGTTATAAAGTTATTTGACGACAAGGTTTTCTCCATCTTTTCTCCATCACCTTTCATTCTTGAGTTATGATCGATTTTAACACCAAAAGTACCCAATTTTGACATTTTGGGGATTTTCTCTTTATCACCTGAAAATCATTACATCTAAACTAAATTTGTTTATGGATGATGTCTTCTTAGTTGACAATAAACAACTTATTCCTAAAAAACTTTTCTCCATCACCTTTCATCCTTGAGTTATGATCAATTTTAATACCAAAAGTACTCAATTTTGATATTTCGGTGATTTTCTCTTTATCATTAGAAAATCATTATAACTAAACCAAATCTGTTTATGAGTAATGTCCTTTTAGTTCATAATAAACAATTTATTTCAAATAAACTTTTCTCCATCACCTTTAATTTTTGAGTTATGATCTATTTTAATACCAAAAGTACTCAATTTTGACATTTTGGTGATTTTTTCTTTATCACTAGAAAATCATTATACCTAAACTAAATTTGTTTATGGATGATGTTTTTTTAGTTCATAATAAACAATTTATTCCTAAAAAACTTTTCTCCATCACCTTTCATCCTTGAGTTATGATCAATTTTAATACCAAAAGTACTCAATTTTGACATTTTGGTGATTTTTTCTTTATCACTAGAAAATCATTATACCTAAACTAAATTTGTTTATGGATGATGTTTTTTTAGTTCATAATAAACAATTTATTCCTAAAAAACTTTTCTCCATCACCTTTCATCCTTGAGTTATGATCAATTTTAATACCAAAAGTACTCAATTTTGATATTTCGATGATTTTCTCTTTTTATCATTAGAAAATCATTATAACTAAACCAAATCTGTTTATGAGTAATGTCCTTTTAGTTCATAATAAACAATTTATTTCAAATAAACTTTTCTCCATCACCTTTAATTTTTGAGTTATGATCTATTTTAATACCAAAAGTACTCAATTTTGACATTTTGGTGATTTTTTCTTTATCACTAGAAAATCATTACAACTAAACCAAATCTGCTTATGGATGATGTCTTTTTAGTTCATAATAAACAATTCATTTCAATAAAACTTATCTCCATCACAATTAATTTTTGAGCAATGATTGATTTTGATAACAAAAGTACTCAATTTTGACATTATGGGGATTTTCTCTTTATCACCAGAAAATCATTACATCTAAACAAAGTCTGTTTATCAATAATATCTTTTTAGTTCATAATAAACAATTTATTCCTAAAAAACTTTTCGTCATCACCTTTCATTCTTGAGTTATGATCGATTTTAAAACCAAAAGTACTTAATTTTGACATTTTGGGGATTTTCTCTTTATCACTAGAAAATTATCATGTCTAAACTAAATTGGTTTATGCATGATGTCTTTTTAGTTTATAATAACAGTTTATTTCTCAAATTACGTACAATTTCACAGCCGACTACTGAATTTTCGATGATTTTATGTAGCATTAACAAGATACGCGTCTTTAGTTTTTTGAGTTTTTTTATGAAAACGACCATGTTTTTTAAAAAATAGTAAGAGTAAAAAAAGTTTTAGAATTAAATTCCACATGAAATGAGGTAATAATGTATTAAATCCACAAAAAGGTTAAAAAAAACTGCCAAAATTTAGGGTACGATCACCCTTAATCACCCTATGAAATACCTCAATTGAGTTCAATTTGCTACCAATTAATACCCTTGGTACACTCATAACGTATACCAAATTTGGTTTCTTATAACTCCTGAGGTGTACAACTTAGTATAGAGGTAAGTTGCGTTAAATCATTTTAATTTATTGTCCTCTACATGTCCTTGCTCTGTGTCGGTTCTTATGTGAATCACCCTGTATAATGAACGATTTCGCCTCAATTTGCCGAGGTCGCTTGCTAGCGAGGTTCAAATCCAAACGGTTTCCTGCATGTTTTAATAAATTTTCCAATATGAGGCAAACTACAATAAATAGGTATAGGAGTGTTTATAGATAATTTATAGAGAATTAAATTCCCTTTCGGGTAGGCTAATAAAATATGGGGCGTTCCATTTAAAATTTTCGAGTTTCTTACGGTTAAATATGGAGACACCCTGTATAATGAACGATTTCGCCTCACTTCGCCGAGGTCGCTTGCGGGCGAGGCGCTGGATTTGATATTTCCACACGTAATCATCAATTTGGGATATTCTAGTGCCTCGCCCACAAGCGACCTCAGCGATTTGAGGTTAAATGTCTTCTCATAAGAGACTTTGTATGTTTATTAAGATATACAGGCTGATTCTCAACCTATACGCATAAGATTACATTTCTCTCAGTTAAGTGGTAATAGACATACTTTTGAAAATGTTAAAATGTCACCAATCAAACAACAAAACTCGTTAGTTTTGCAAAAAATTATATTAATTTGATTGAGTTAAGGTTGAAAAAATTTATGTCTATCAAGTTTGACACACGATTTCTAAAAAAAGGAGTAGTACAACACCCTAGGCAAGTAATTTTAAAAGATGGCCTGTTTAGTCAAGTTTCCAAAATGGTACAACACTTGCTATTTTTCTTGTCATAAAAAATATTATTGCCTGTTTTTCTGCAAAAAACACGTTATTTAAAAAAAATTCATACTTTTGTATGTTATTTGTATGTACTTTTTATTTCCTCGTAACTTTATTAGAAGATGTGCCAGTCAATATCTACGAACTATAAAATGTGGTTTCGACAAGATGGTTGCCCTTATGTCTTGCAAAAAATCTAAAGACAAAATTAAACAAACAAATTTATTTATTATTAATTTTATAGCATTATTTTCTTAAACCTAAGGCAGAAACACAGAAAAGATCTTTTTACTAGTTGTGCAAATCTCTTTGCATTTATTTCTTCTGCTGCTGTATAAATATTGTAGCTGAATTCGGCAAGATTTTCAATCGGTTTTTAATACACTGTTTCTTTTATGCAATCCTAATAAGAAAATCAAAGGGATTTAGACTCAGAGAACGAGGAGGCCACGTAATCGAACCACGACGCCCAATCCATCTTTCTGGGTATTTTGCATGCAATCAAGCATAATGAGCTGGGCAACCATCTTCTTGAAACCACATTTCTCTGTAGATATTGAGTGGCACATCTTCTAACAAAGTTGTTAAATCATTTTGGAGAAAATACAAATAACATACGAAAGTATGAATTTTTTAAATAACGCGTTTTTTTGCAGAAAAACAGGCAATCATATTTTTTAGGAAAAAAAAAAGAGCAAGTGTTATACCATTTTAGAATCTTGACTAAACAGGCCATCTTTTAAAATAACTTGCCAAGGGTGTTAATAAATTTAATAGACATAAATTTTTTCAACCCTAACTCAATCAGAGTGTAGATCCATGTTGCAAGTGAATTATTTAAAAAATAAAACGAAAAAACTTCTTAACTTGCTATATTTAATAAATTTGAAGCCAAACTAGTTTCGGGGCTAGCCCCATCTTTACAATGTCAATAGAAGACTAATATTGTAAACTGAAGATCATCAAAAAGGCAATTGAATGGTGTTAAACGTGTACAGCAAAATGATTAAAAATGTACATTAATACGACCTCAGCGATTTGAGGTTAAATATCTTCTCATAAGAGACTTTGTATCTTTACTAAGATATACAGGGTGGTTCTCAACCTATACGCATAAACTTGGAGATTTATTCCTCGAGGCAAATAATGAGTAATAGGCGAAAAAAATTCTAGTAAAAGACTTTTAGTTTCATAGATATCCGATATATGCGGCGATATCTAGATAAGTTGGTTCCTGTAAGATGGACATTCTCTTGATTTTTATTTTTGGGGTCAGATACAATCAGATACTAAGGTTTACACAGCGCTATCATATTATCTCCAAAGCGTACAGTCTTTGCTTCCAGAAATCATCTTACACAGCAACACCAAACTATTTCATCTGTTTAGAACTGATATCACCATACTTATTTCATCTTCTGCAAAAAACTGCTTACATACATTTGAGTGTGTCGTTTGCTCATGTCTTTCTGATTATAAGAGTTGCCTGCACAAATGATGCATGGCGAAATTTAGTAATGAGATGAAGAATGACATGTACGGATCATACAATATTGTGGAAAATGTTGGGAGCATCAAAAAGATGTAGATAGAACTCCGGGGAAAAAACGTCAGACAGCTTTCCTCTGTTTCGTTGATCTAACCAAAACGTTCGACAAAGTAAGGATAAAAGAAGTAAAACAAAGTATGTAATCTAAACTATGGTTACACTATGAATGATTACAAAATCAAGATTGAGTGCTATGCAGATGATGTCTTCCTTTTAGCTGATACTGAGGATGGCATTAACATTTAACATTGCAACTAAGAAAGTGAATACTGAGGAAATTAATACTGAGCAAGGATTGCGAAATCAGATACAAACTGCTGTCGAGACAATCCGACACAGTTTAGGCCTCGCTAGTAGAACATCATCGATTCAGCGAGCCCAATTGTGTATAGAAAATATTAGAAGCAACTTGGAACACTTACTTTGATGTCATTTTAAAATCTTATATGTATTCTCGATTTGAAAGTAAATTTCACGAATATCTAGAAATCTAAAAAGCTTTTGTTACAATTTTGTTCACCTATTTCTCATTATTTGTCATAAGTTTATGAGATTTTAGCTAGGATAAAAAATCATAATCTCAAAATATTTTGAAAGAAAAATTTAATTTAAGCAAAAGAATTCAAATTAAAAATAAAAAAATGTACCTAATTTAAAAGTTTTTAGATAAAGACACTTTCTTTTTCAAGTTGTTTCGCTGAATTCATATAAACACGTCGTGATAATCCCGCGAATTAACATTCCGTAAAAAGGAGTAAGCTTAATTAAACGCCACTTTTACTAAAATAACTTTATCTTAACAGCGGTTTCGTTATGACGCCGACGACCGTTCACGTCTTTTCCAATTACACTTAACGCTCCTCTCCTTTTGCTTCCAGGACTTGTGCAGGAGGAAGCTGTCCGTGGACGCATGGTAAGTATTAAAATCCATAGATATGTAGATGCGTGAGTTTCTCGGGACGTTTCGTTCTTAGCAACCGTGAGAAAAAGCTTTTGAAGCGTACTTTCCGGGCTTTTGTCGACGAGCTTTTACGATTTTACCTATAAATTTATTTTGAGTAACATTTATTGCACCTAGAGGTTTGAAACTTAGATTTTGATTAAGAAAGTTTTTATTACTTATCAATGGTTTTATGGCACGCACTCAATCATTTTTGTGTCTATAAAAAAAGGTAATAGAAATTTATTCTTAAATTTATGTAGATAGTTACAAAGGTGTAAGTGCAAATTTGAACGATTGTGTTAACGTTTCCCGTCACATTACGTTAAGAAGAATGTTTAATAATTGGCTTTATTTATGGTCTCGAACTGCGTGTGGGTCTAAACATCACCACCTCCGCGTTTACAAGGCACCCATATGAGCTTGAAAAAGCTTCCTGTACATCTTGTACCAGACACGATAGAATCGTTCGCGTAAATATAAATTAATTTATAGCCACGAGCTAACCGTTGGTTGGTTCGAAGATTTCGTTCCTCGTTATTTATGCCCAATTAATGTTGGGACGAAGATGTTTGGTTCATTATGAGACCTGGTGCGGGTTGACAACGTCTCAAGAACGACCTGTGGCAAGGACGATCGACGAACCTCGCCGATCTTTAAGCGGATATTTATGTAGCCGCAAATCGCATCGTATCTTCTTGCGTTTGTGTACCGTAAAATGTTGTTTATGCTACCGCCGTTAAGCGTTTCATATCGTTGTTATATCTTCGGCGTTAAACGTTCTGTGAGTGCTTATACATTACGAAAGTCGTAAACAGAAATAATAAAGTCCATATAATTTTATTTAAATGCTTATGCAATCTTATAACAAAAATATCTTCATTTGTACGCAACCCGTACAACTAAGGGCTTCTAATTAACTACGCCAATTACCAAAAGCGCCGGCAGCAATCAAAATTCATTAAGATAAGCAATAAATCCGTCCCCCTATCGCAACCCTCTTCTCCCGGCTATCTTTAACCTTTAAGGGCGCTTCTAGTTCCTCCCGAAATTAATTACCGTACTAATTTAAAATCGACCGTGACGGCTTCGTGCGGGGTAAAGAAATTATTTTTTTTTCTCTTATTTGCCTCGAAGAATCGTGTTAACGTCCTAATAATAATGAGACGAGGGTTGAAGACAAATAGCTTGTTAGCGAGTCGCACGATTTATCAATTTGAGAGGAGTCCATTGTTTGATTAATAATAATAATAATCTTTATTGATGTTATTACACAGAAAAGTTTTTACATACGTCAGATATTTGTGTGATCAGTTACAAAATGTATATCTCTATTCATGTAATATAAAGTATAATATATAATGAGGACAATAATAAACCGAAATACGCTTACAATCTAATCGGGTGAGTAAATATACAGTGTGTCCGTAAAGTAACGGATATAGGCGATAAAATCATTATAAACGGGTCTAAAGGTTTAAATTTTTTGCAATTTTTTAATGTAGATTTCACGTCATCGATATTTTTTGCAAATAGCAATCCCCCGTTTTTATTACGGTATATGAAAGAGGATGCTTTTCTGAATTTAGTACAGTTAATATTAATATTGGTTACATAAGAAAATTTTTGAGAAAAATTACTTTAAAGTTTAACTACTTCAAATTTGTTGATATGATAAAAATAGCAGTAGCCATGAGTAACTAATTATTTTAAACAATTCAAAAGTGTCAAAAAATGATTTGGTAAGTAGAGTTGACCTTCTTAATGCAACATTTTGTGATCGAAAACTGCTTAGCTCATTAGTATGGTAAGCCTAGCTGTGACTAAATTTAAAAAGCATAGACATCTTCGAGATTTTTCGAAGTCTACTCTACCAAGTGTTTCAGGGGAGGTTCAACAAATGGTAGTTTTGGCTGGGCAAGGAAACCCTTATGCTACTGTCAGAGGTATTGGGTCGAATTTGGACATTAATTAATCAGTGGTTCATAAAATTTTAAAAACCGTAAAATATTATTCCTATAAAGTAAACTTCATTCACGAGCAATGAGTCGTTTTTTCCAACAACAATTTTGCTACGATGACGAAGACTTTGTAAAAAACATATTTTTTCTGACGAGGGAACATTCACATTAAGTGGACAAGTAAATAGACAAAATTGTCGGTATTGGGCGAGAAAGTCGCACATCCAATATCCGCAAAAGATCAATGTATGGAGTGAAATAGTACGGGATACTGTCCTGACTTCTTACATTTTGAGAAAATCTTAACTGGAGGGAGATATTTAGATTTTTCCAAAACGATATCATAATGTTATTCCAATGGCAGTTATTCCAACAAGATGGCGCGCCACCACAGTTCAACAAGCTTTCCTAAATCAGTTTTTGACACTCAGGGAATTAGATAAAGTAAAATACTTTTTTCTGTATGTACTTTTATTAAAAATGGATTTACTGTTTTAAATTCTACCGGTTTCGGTTTATTTACAAAACCATCTTCAGAAACCTTCGAATCTCGTCAATTTATTTTAAATCTCTCGTGATAATTAGCATCTTGAATTTTCTAGTAAACGTTTTTATTGAAATGAATATTGACTGTATATACAGGGTGTCACACAAAAAACGCCCCAAGCTGTAACTGTCATTTATATTCCGATTTTCATGACCGAGGTATCAAATAAAATGGTTTGATGAATACTATGGTTCATGCTACAAATAAATTTTTTTAAAGGCCATCTTCAATTTTAATCGATTATTAACTTTTGTTTTTCAAATTGCTCCACATATTTTTCTTCACGTCATTAGATAGAGATTGTTTTTCTGAATCCACTGATGTGTAATACATTCACTTTAAATGTAATTTTAGCAGAAAAAAGACATCTGTATATACAGGTTGTCGCACAAGAACGCCGTAAGCTGTAACTCTGACATTTAACTTCCGATTTTTATGGACGAGGTATCAAATGAAATGGTTTGATGAATGCTATGATTCATGCTACAAATAAACTTTTTCTAACGCCATCTTCGATTTCAAGCGATTATCAACTTTTGATTTTCAAATTGCTCGGTATGTTTTTCTTCACGTTATGGGATAGAGATTTTTTTCTGAGCCCATCGATCTACAATACATTAACATTAATTGTAATTTTAGCAGAGAAAAACAATTAAAACGTTTTCCGAACATTGTCTTAGTCACTTCTGTAATACTGCAGTGTGCCATGGAAAAAAATAACACGCAAAACTGATAACAGTCATTAAATGCTATGTCAATGCTCGAAGTGTGTGTAATTGATACTTATAAGTTGTTTTTTCATTTATCCCATGGCACACTACACTATAATACAAGTGACTTTAAGAGAATATTCAGAAACTATTTTAATGTTCTTCTATGCTACAATTACAATTAATGTTGATGTATTGTACATTAATGGATTCAGAAAAAAAAACTCTATCCGATAGCGTGAAGAAAAACATACCGAGCAATTTGAAAATCAAATGTCGATAATCGCTTAAAATTGAAGATGGCTTTGGAACAAATTTATTTGTAGCATGAATCATAGTATTCATGAAACCATTTCATTTGATAACCCGCTCATGAAAATCGGAATGTAAATGACAAAGTTACAGCTTGGGGCGTTTTTTGTGTGACACCCTGTATGAGTAAAATGCCTGCTCCATCAGAAACATCTTGATTTGCTTTTTGAAGTTATCTAAATTGAGATCACGCAAGTTTACAGGCAGTTTGTTATAGAATTTATGTGCTAAAAATGTAATATTTTTTTGCGATTTTGTCAATCGGTACAGAGGAGGTCTCATGGCACGTCTATTCCTAATTTCATATTGGTGATTTGAATTGTTTAGGAAAGTCAAGTTAAAATTCTTTGTTGAATGAAGATGTCATCTCTAAATTTTAGGCCACTAATTATTCTAACAGGTTTTATCGGCAAATAATCTTGTCAAGTCAGCTGCTTGACCCCATACTAAAATTGCATAATAATACTAAAAATATGCACTTCTAAGTACAGCCGCCGAAACAGAGTTGAAGGATAGGTTTTGCAGGATATAAATGTTCCGCGACAATTTAGAAGCCAAAGCCTCGACATGACATTTCTAAATTAATTTTTTATCAATGTATACCCCGAGAAATTTAGTATTATCAGACAAAGTGAGCTGTTCAATTTCATCACCATAAGGGCATAAGGAAAACATCATAATTATAGTTTTGTTAGAATTCAATGTGAGGCTGTTTCCACGAACACTCCCGACTGGGATTCATTACGTTTCTGCAATAGGTTAATCAAATTATCGTCGCTCACTAACATGGCAGCATCATCAGCATAGAGAATGTAATCAACAGTCTTACTTATTGCCGGTACATCATTTATATATATCAAGAACAACAGAGGACCCAGCACTGAACCGTGAGGAACACCATCAATCATCACTCGCTGATATCTATCATTAAGATATAACTGCTAATCAGACTTAAGGCATCATCACAGAAGTTATATGTTTTTAGTTTGCTAATTAACCCATCATGCGGCACACAATCAAAGGCTTTCGACAAGTCGCAGAACATTGACACTCTATGCTCCTTTTTCTCAAACGACTCAACAATTGAATCAACCAGATCCAGTATCGCAAGTGTCGTGGTTTTATTTTTACGAAACCCATATTGATATTTACCAAATTAGTAAATATCAATATGGGTTTCGTAAAAATAAAATTTTAGCTAAAATTTTTTCATAGATTTTAGATATAATAGGCAGAAGCGATATAGGACGATAGCTATTAAACTCATTACAATTTGGTAATTTGGTAACGTTTTACAATTTTAACTGTAAGACCATAGATATCACGAACATTTAAATTTCTTAATGAGTTTATGCAATCTCTCACTGCATTGTATGAAACTGGTTGGAAAATGAATCGAATATCTTTACTGATATGAAACCCAGGTTGTTTACATACATAACCATACATATTACAATGTGACTTGGTGAACAATTCATTCATTTCATTGGGAGATAGTATACAAGTGATCTTATTACATTTTGCAACTCTATTAATGTTAATAATGTCCTACATTGTCTTTATTGAAGCATTTAACTTCTTGATCAGTAAGTCATTAGACATGATTTTATTATCCTTACTTGCAGATTTATGAGTTTTGAAGAAGTTATTCTCTCATTGTTCTTAGTTCACTCGAAAACCAGTCATGATTGAGTGAATTATTGGCATGGGAGGAATATTTTTTAAGTGGAAATGAATCCATGTATTTATCGCTCAAAATAATCATAAAATATTGAAACCCATCATTCACTTCTGTGTTATCCGAATTAATAAATCCCCATGAGTAACCATCAAGCAGATTATAAAAATTTAGCAGTCACTGTTCAGTGATGGGTCTGTATTTGACTGTTTTAGCTCTAACCTTACCTTCATCACACATTTTGTATCCAATGTCTTTGCCGTGCAGACAGCAGAGAAATTTTGCAAAATGTTATCGATACAATTAGCTTGCCTACTAGGATCAGAAAACATACACTCAAGGTTGAACGATTTCACGATGTCTAACTAGCGAACACACTCACTACTATTAGATCAGAAAACAAGATTGAAATCACCTGCAAGTACCACTTTCTTAGTAGAAATCGTGCTCAGGATATCCTCCAATACGTTTAAAATCATTTAGCGTCACACAACTCAATTCGCAATCCTTTTCAATAAACATGAGCTCAATTGCAGATTTTTGGCAAACTTTATACCTTTTTTGATCGTTACAAGGGAACCTCCTCCTTCGTTGTTTTTACGATAAAAGAAAGATGCAGGTACAAAATTACCAAACACAAACGATTTTATTTCATCATCAACCAGCCAATGTTCAGTTATAGCAATACCATGAATCTGTTTGTTATATAAATATGCATCTAATTGATTCACTTTATTTCTAACGATTGAATGTTTATATTAAGTATACCAACATTACTGAGTATTTGGGCGTTACATTGAGTTACTGGGTTACCAACATTATAGCTACACCGATTAGATTAAATCCAAACATAACTTAAACTTAACTTGAGGTCTCCTCTCTTGAACATGGTGCGGCTTTTCCTGCATCCATAAAATGTTGATTACGTCTATTAAACATGCCACAGTTTGTAAATCTTGTTTCATCCACAAAATTTTAATCCAAGCTATGATCAGCTTCACATATGTTAATAAACCACGTACAATATTCTACACGCTTATTTTAGTCATCTGGGGGGTAGTGTTTGTGAAACTGCCATTTCATATGAATGAAATCTATGCTTTTTTAGTTCTCTTACGACAGTACGTTGTGACGTGCCTGCTTCAGATGCATCTTGTGTTGAAACCGATGCATCTTGATGGATTCGTGCTAATACATTTACTTCTATAAGTACGAAGGCTTTCACGGCCGATATTAATTAAACTAAAACTAGAACTAACACTAGCACTACCACAAGAACTAACACTAGACCTAGAACTACACTAGAACACTTCTTCAGAAACAAGACTTCGACTTCGAACTTGTTTCTGAAGAAGGTTGCAACATGGTATCCGAAACGTCAAAACTTTTTCAAAAAACGCACAGCTTAATCCGAACGATTCTAGTTCTAGGTCTAGTGTTAGTTCTTGTGATAGTGCTAGTGTTAGTTCTAGTTTTAGTTTACATTTACTTCTGTTTTGCATCATTAGTTGGTTTACAGAAAGAACCATACTCGCCCAAATTATCAGCCTTTTCAAAGTAGATAGAGAAGGCTGGCGACGATCCAAATACTGTTCTGCAGCTTGTATTGCATTTTTATAGCATAAATGTAACACTCAATGATATCACGCTTTTATTTATATATGAAACATAGTTTGCCTGAAGCTGTCATAACCAAACGTATCTATCAATTGTTTCCATAGCATACTACCTGAACAGTTTACAAATTAAAAGAATAAATGGCTATAATTTATTTATTAATAAAAATAAGTATGTCAAGTGGTATATCATTAAAGTCGTTGAGAAAAGGCCTTTTTTATAAAGTCATGGCCGCTAGTTTTCAAGATCTCTATACTAAACATGGAAAAAAACTCACCTGTATAAGGCATGATTTTGCCTCAATTCGACGAGGTCGCTTCCAGGCGAGGTGTTAGATTTGATGTATTTGTTACAGTGAAAACTCGTTCTCTGTCAAAACTAGTTTTAATTATAGAAATCGGTCAAAAATAGTTTTGACTGCAAGCTTCGGTCAAAATCCGTTTTGACTGATATATATCGGTCAATACTATTAATAACTGAAAAATAGCGGTCAAAGAGGGTTTTCACTGAGAGTGTCAGATGGGGGGGGNGTGATCTCATTGACATGCAATCGCAACCAGACCGTGAATATAAATTTATTATGGTCTACCAAGATCATTTGACTAAATTCGTGGTTTTACGATCTCTTAAAACAAAAAGAGCTACAGAAGTTGCGCATCACTTGCTGGATATTTTTTTAACTTTTTTTTTTAACGGCAGAGAATTTCTGAATTCAGTTTTAAAAGAGTTAGCATCTTACTGGCCTGAATTAAAGTTAGTTAATGGAAAGCCGCGTCATAGCCAAAATCAAGGTTCTGTTGAACGAGCCAACCAAGATGTGGAAAATATGTTGGCCTCTTGGATGCAGGACAACAAAACAACTAACTGACTCTAATGGGCTCAGATTCGTTCAATTTATGAACAAGAGAGCATTTCATTCTGGCATAAAACAATCTCCATATCGAGCAATGTTTGGATCTGAACCAAAAGTGGGACTAATGACATCGAATTTACCTTTAGAGGTGATTAGTAAACTAGAAGATGAAGAATAATTGCAGGTTGCAATCACTGAAATAAATCAGAATTTGGAACACAATAAAGAGAACGAAAGTGGAGAAGAAAATGACGAATATTACAAGGAAGATGAAGGAAATAAAATAGAAAAGGAAGGCGAAATTGCTGAGGTAGAGAAAGATCAAGAGAGAGCCACACCTTGTACTAGTGATGAATTATTAATACTAACAGCAAGGAAAGATGCTCATTACAATTTGGCAAAGCAGGCGGAAAGAATGAAAAAATCAAGTGATCAATCACATCAACCATTGAATGTCGGAGATAACGTTACTATACCAGTTCCAGACGTGGACAGAGGAAGGGCGGAACTCCGTAATATTATTGGAATTGTACTAGAAGTTAGTTCAGAGCAACTATATAAGATTGGTACAAGGGATGGTATATTGGACAAATTATACTGCAGGTGAATACTCATACCTACAAGGCCAGCCATACACAGGTAACATTAAGTCTGCTATAAGCAATGACTGCATGGCGAACCTCGGATATACTATTCCAGTCGCCCGTGTATGGTCGGCTTAAGTAGACGTAAATGTGTATGGTCGATTTTCTTCTTTTTCTTTAATAGGTCAGAATTTGATGGCTGTAGCGAAAAATTCATCCGTCGTGATGAAGTGCCAAACGTTACAATTACTTTAAGAACTGCTGCCAGGAAAGCTTCTATAGGAACAGGGCAAGGTTATGCAAGATGTGTTTGTTTTAAAGGTTGTACCAATAATAAATGTTTATGTCAGAAAAAAGGACTATTATATAATTCTAAGTGCCATAATAGTTTAAGTTGCGCAAATAAATAGTTTCGTTTAGATGCCTGTAAGATTTATTTAACCTAACATGCAAAAAAAAAACATAAAAAAAAGAGATGGTTTTTCTTCCTTTCCTGTTGCTCTAGCATCCACACCAGTCTATCTCTCACCTACTAATGCTTCTACTCTCCCCCTCTCGTCTCCTCTAACCGAAAAAGAGTTTTGCCTAGTAATTACTGGTGAATATACTTTTGACTAACGCTCTCAGTCAAAACTCTTTTTGACCGGTATCTTTCAGATAAAAATAGCATTGTCAGTCAAAACGTATTTTAACCGTAGACTGCTGTCAAAACTAGTTATAACTGTAACTAGTTGTAACTGTAACATATTCACACATTAAGGGGGCTTCTAGTTTCTCCCGAAATTAATTACCGTACTGATTTAAAATCTACGGCGCGGGGTAAAGAAATAATTTTTTTTCTTATTTGTCTCGAAAAATCGTGTTAACGTCCTAATAATAATGAGGCGAGGGTTGAAGATAAATAGCTTGTTAGCGAGTCGGCCTATTTATCAATTTGTTTGATTAGTGGACAACCCCCTCTGTCATGCTCAATAATGTTTAGTCTCTCCCTGTAAAACGTTTTCGCTTTTAGGTTTACGCCCCACGACCTCGTCAGAAGAATTCCAAAGTTGAAGATGGTGATCGATCTTACTTACACCGACGGCGATAGGTATTACGATCAAAACGTAAGTAGTTTAAAGTTTAAAAATAAGTTAATAAAATTAAGTTAAAGCCCTAGTTTAACATTTCACTTTGGAGTAGCGTGTCACGCCCATTTTTGGTAACCTGTCGTCGGGCTAATTTGAATAAAGGGACGTCGTAGTCGGCGTTAGAAAAGATGTCGGGCATCGGGGACTCAAAAATTTCAATAACAAATTCTAACGGACCCTTTGTCTTCTCCGTCGCCCATTCCTCCTTGTCACTTGTGCGTCTCCGCGTGGTCGATAATGTGGGAAAAGGAACCAGTCCTGCCACACGCGTCGTCGTGAGAGATTTGTATATGCGTTAATTTTTTCAACAAGCAATTATCGCCACCTCGTGCTCCGTCTACACTTCTTCGACGAGAATCGAGAGCCTCGCGAGGCCGGCAAACGAACAGACGACCAGCGAAATTAGCTCTCCATTAACGAACTGTTCCTTTATATGGTCAGCGGCGTATTAAAGCCTACACCGCCGTTACCAATGAGATATTGTCACATTATCATCGTGGCCCAAGTGCTCCTCGAGTTAAAATTATCTTGGGATGCCACAGGTTTCCGGGTTTAACTGCTAATTGGGTGCTGAAGACTAAAAGACAATTTCACAACGGTTAAAAATAGTTAAATCTTCTACGCATATATATAGATTAATATGAAGTATACATAAAGAGAAAGAGAATATGAAGATAAGTTAGTTATTGTTAATTAATATTGCATTCAAACATCGAATAAAGAGGTGGCCTTGAAACACAGAATTTAATACAAAGGAATTTGTATTTGAGATGGAGAACCTTCCCATAATTCAGCAACGTACCAGCGAAGAACTGGGTCATCATCAAGTTCATTCCGAATGACAAAAAGAATTACTTAAAAGTATGGGCGAAGATCTCTGCCAAAATGGTATAGATCGATTTTAAGCTGTATTTTCCAATTATTTAGTTCATTTATGACTTTTTTAACTGCTACTCGAAGTTTTTCCATAACTTTTTTTTTGAGTTGAGCTCCATTCAGTATTAAGTCTCCTAGATTTCACATACGCTCAAGTCTCTTTAAAATCCTTGAAACATAAATGGCATTAGCTATGTCTAGTGTAACCATGCCATATCACTATTCCAGCCGTACTCCCTACATTTCATCATTCTCTGCACCAATTTATACAGTGCCTGAAAATTGTTCCTCTACCTCTCCGAAACCCATTCTATCTATTGTCCGAAATTGTTCCGAAACCTAGCATACCACCGATGGCAGGTCTGACAACTCGCTATCTTCCATACGTCCGGAAAGACCCTTCCCCCAACATCTCTCTATCAACCACATCCATTAACATCCCAGGGCATTGCCTTCTTCCATATTCCTTATCACTCCATCCAGCTCCACATTTCCCAATCACCCTTATTCCTTCAGTAACCTTCCACTCTTCTGACCATTTCTTTCCTAATCTACTTTTGCCGCATTGTATCCTCGTTTTCCACGTCATAATAATAATAATAATAATCTTTATCGCCAACCGGCAGCAAAACCATACTTTATGCTATCCATTTGCGGCAGTAAAGTGACACTTTGTGCTACTATCTAGTAAACTGTGCATTTAGCGGCAGACAAAGTACTTTACCTGCCGCTAATTGCTGTCAATTTGAAAAAAATGCCTTTGAACAGCTGGATTTGAACCCGGTACCTTCTGTATGAAAGCGCACTTCCCTCTCCACTATACGACCTTTGATACATAGTGTAACTTTACCGAGGTATATTAACAAAACAAATCGTTTGACACATGTCATAATATTGGTAAGTTAGAATATCTTCATATCGTTAAATTTTGCGGTTGGCGATAAAATGTTGTATGCAACACGTCAGCAAAGTGTCTTTATCGAACTCGCCTGTTACTCGCCTCGCTCGCTCGACTCGCAAACTCAGACTCGTTCGATAAAGCATCACTTTTCCGACTTGGTACATAAATAACTATTATTATCCCAACGGATTACAATTCAATAAAGAGATAATATTATATAAATCAACAACAATCAATTCTAAAAGAAAAGAAGAAATAAGACAAACAAAAAAAGAAAACCAAGAACAAACTGTCACTCGACCGAATTTGCTGCACGCATTAGTTTGTTTATTGGAGAGTTTAGCCCCACATTGGTTTTAGCGCGATTTGGCATATAGGCACTATAAACTCGCAAAGAACAATCTTCTACGGTCCTCAAGGCTCCGGAGGCCATATCGTTGTAGCAGATTTATATAGTTTAGTTCTCCTCTAGGTGGATAATATCCAGAATGTACTTTCTCGATGAATGTGCGTTAAATAAGATGGGGTCCACACGATGCAGCAATATTCAAGTTTACTTCGTACCAGCATAGAATAAAGATCTATTATTGTTTTTAAATTCGTACACTCCAACGTATTTCTCGGGATAAACCCCAACGTTCTGAGGGCACCAACCGATGTTCTGCCGATATGTTCATTGAAGGACAAAATGCCATCAAACCACACTCCAAGATCTTTTACTGTTGAGATACGCGATAAGTGATCCATTCCAAGCACGTAATCGAAAAGTATGGTATTACGTTATTGATTGTATGTCATTACCTGACATTTAAGAGTATTTAAAGCTAATTTGTTATCAGAACACCATGAATAAAGTTTATCTAAATCTAACTGGAGTGATTCACGCTGCTCACAACTAATAGATCAAAATAGTTTCAGGTCGTCTGCGTATAAGAGTGAATTCGTTGAAAATCGCAGGTAAATCATTTATATAGATGTTGAACAGCAAAGGGCCAAGTATAGATTCCTGGGGTACGCCACTAGTAACATGAATCTGTCTTGACTTCAAACCATTTAACTCGACGTATTGTCTGCGATTGGATACATACGATACTAGGAGTCGTGTGGGAAAGTGATCACATCCAAATTTCCACAACTTTTCCGCCAGCAAATCATAATCCAAGCAATCAAAAGCCCGAGAAAAGTCGGTGTATATCACATCCACCTGCTCTCGACAGTCTAATGCATTCGATACGTATTGAGTGAAGCTGAGTGGGTTGGTGGCTGTGGATCTACCTTTGCAAAACCCAAGCTTGGAAAAATTATTTATGATGGCTATAGGTCGATAATTCGTTACACAGCATCTATCACCTTTCTTAAAAACAAGGCAAACTCTGCTCAATTTCCAGATTTTCGGGAATTCAGAATTATTGATTATTAAATTAAAAATATGCTGAAGAGGCTGTAATAATACAGGCGCACAGTCTTTGATTATATATGCAGGGATAAAATCTGGACTAGTCGTAGTTTTTGCCTTAAATTTTTTAAAAGCTTCCACCACCTCATCAGGACTTACTTCTGAGATGCCGAAAGAAACGGCATCCCATCCATCAGCAACTTGGGCACCTTGAAGACTGACATCAGGAGCCGGAAGATACATACTCTCAAAATGATCGGCGAACAAATTAATCACAGGCTGCAGATCGGAAAAAAATTCACCATCGTGTTTGTGAATATTTGGTGAGACAGCACTGTTTCTGGTCTCGGATATATCTTATTCGATAAAAGGAGTTATTGGTTCGTCTAGATAATTTGTGGTAATGTTTTTTTAGTTTAAGCATTCGTTTTAAGGTAGAGGAGTACCACAAAGGATATTTAGTTTTTATGTGTTTTCCGCATCCAAGACACTATATAATGTTATATAGAAAACATCACAGGAGACTTCAACTTATAATAAAGACAGCAAGTAATTCCAATCAATGTTCAATATTGCGCTGTATAGGTTGGGCAGGTTAGCTCTTTTGAAGCAATACTGGGCGCCTCGATATATGTCTTGAACCGTTGAAGACTGAGGTGCAGGTATATTTAGAGTTTTCAACAATGCTGGATGATAATTGTCTTCGCGAACCAGAGTAAAATCGGAGTGTATCACGTTAAGATTTGCGTGTGATGAACAGTGGTGGGCGCTGGGTAAATTCCCGGCGGGTAGGTATTTATAAAATGGGTATTTATCCGGCCCAGGGTAAATACCCAAACAGTACGTATAAAAGTGATACATGTAAAAATATAACAGATTCGGAAAAAAATAAAGCGGAAGTTGATGAAATGTTATCAGACGAATCTGTTGTGATTTAGATTAGATCAAGATATTATGATAAACCTATTTATTTTTTTAGTGCAGTTTGTACTCTTTTTAAATGTTATTATCATCAAGCAGCCCTCAGCGTCCATTATTAGACATAGGTTTCCCCTATTCTGTTCCATTCGTTTCTATTCTGTGCTGTCTGAATCCACTTGTTGGTCGTTTTTTTGACGTCGTCTGTCCAGCGTGTAGGTGGTCTTCCTTTACTTCGTCTATCCGTTCAAACAACCGTTTTGTCCACTGATCATTCTTCATTCGCGCGACATAACATGTTGACCACACATCATTTACGCCAGCTCTCCTTCGTAGGTCTTCCTTTCTAATGTTGATGTTAGAGCTGGGAACAAGATTTCTCATAAATTTTGATTTCTCCACGTTGATATTTAGCCTGACTCTTGCAGACACCTCCTGTAAGTCGTTCAGCATCAGTTGCATCTCTCCAAGGCTATCCGAAATAGGGTCTACATCGGGTATTTTGGTCTACAATAGGGTATTTGTCATTAATGTTTATGCCTTTTTGGATTCAATCCAGTTGTTTAAATGCATTCTTCAGGACTGCGATGAACAATTTGGGGACATTGTATCGGTTTGTCTTACCCTACGCCCAATAGCTATTCGGTCAGTACTTTTATGCAATTTTATCGTCATTGTAGCATTCTTGTAGATGTTATAAATAAGTTTGGTGTATTGATAATCGACTCTGCATTCTTGAAGTACTTGTAAAACTCAACAAGTCCATCAACTCAATTTAAATTAAATTTTAATCTTAGGTAAATACCCCCGGGTATATATCCAGGGAATTTTCCCTTGAAAATAAATACCTGGGTATTTAACAACACTGGTGATGAAGCAAGAATCAGATCGAGTGTTCTATCTATGATATTACTCACGTTGTTCAATTGCTCAAGATTATTAAAACTAAGAAAGTTACGAATGGTAGCAGCTCATTCATCGTTTATGATAGCAAATGATGGAATATTCCCAAGATCAAAGTATCTAATGACATATCCAGTGATGATTCAATGTGATCAAATGTACGATCATACATTTCTCTAGGTGTGCCAGGCGGGATGTAGCAAACAACAATATTCATAACGTATTTTGATTTTTTCAACTGAGGGCCAATAATACTCCGCCACTTCTACGATGAGGTCGATCACATCTAAAAACATCGTATCTGTTGGGGAAAAGCTCACGATCAAGAACTGTTTTTTTGAGCCATGTGTCACTAAGCGCGATAATATCGAAATCTAAAGCCATGCATGAAATGCTTCTTGAATTTTGTTTGTTGATGGTCAGATTGGTCAGCTCCCATTCATACCTTGCCATTCTCGCCTACTCTCTCTCTTTCTCCAAATCTTTTTTACTGCTCTCTTTGCCTTGACAACCTCCCTCTTGCATTATCTTCTCTTACCCATGAAAACACACCTGTTCCTCTACTATCTTGGTATTCTCGTCTGGTTGCCCTAACTTCGTTTCTCCTACTCTGCCACTTATCACTCCACCAACCTAGCATCCTCTTTGTTCCTCTCCTTGCTTTTCTGAACATCTCTTGACACACATTACTCATATTTTTATTTCATACCTCAGCATTCACCATACACATTTCATAGTTTCCTCTCCAGAACGTTCCACACGGGATCTATTCCTCCTGATCTAACCATCGATCCAACTACATCCGTTGTTGGATTGAAACGTCGGATCTTCACTTTCTGGATTGGATTTAGTTCGCTCAATCTTTCCTCTCTATGACTAGGCATACCTGACCAGGAAGTAAGCAAGACTAGAAGTGATCTAGAATGTTGCTAGTTGCATCCCAAGCTTCGGACAAATTTATCATCCTCTATAAATATGCTTGTACTTTGTCACGATTATTATATTGAATGAATTTTTGTTTTTAATATACTTAATTTATAGATGAATCAATACTAACCAGATGTCGGCAAGAACGCGAAACATAAAAGGAACTGGTGGCCTTCAATATCCATACTCACACATATCGGAGAATGATAGCGGTCGGTTAATTGCTTATGAATATGCATACCAAAACGAATATATCGCCTCAAGTGCGCACCATCTCGCCGGGGACACAGTAAACTAATTAGGCGTATCTCTCCGTCGCCGCTGTCACCGTTCCGACAGCGCAATTAGACGGGCCGAATTAACTCCGTGTTGGTTGAAGGCGGAGGACAATCGGCCCACTTTGATTGGATTCGCTGCCGACCAGTTCGAACGTGTCCTCACTCCCTCGTATGTCATCCACTTGTTGAATTAACGAGATTCATTGGGGAGGGACGATCACTTCAACGTCTTCTAATTAAATTCAAAGCTTATGTAGTTATGCGGCGGGATGAAGGTGCCAAGCACGTGTCATGATCTTTCACTGAGTATTAGACGTCTAGTAATTAAATTAAAAAATCTTCGGTGGCAGGTGAACAAGGCACGTGTCACCTATCACTACTCTATTCGTTTATGAAAATTAAAACAAAAAAATAAAGGGTTTAGATTGATTCAGTTTCATGCCCGAAGCCCGAAGGAATGGTATCAGGTTGAAATATCATAATTTATACGTCCGACCACCGAGTCACTGCTTGTGGCGTTAACTGGGCCAATGTAGATTTCCGTCTGGATATGGAGAGCTCGATGTGTTCTAAATCACACTCCACCCGAGAGATTGCCGCATCACTTTCTTAGAGCATAAATCTTTTTTGTCTGACACGATCTGATCTTCGGACTTCGGGAGCTGGTTAACGTAAGCACGAGGAAACGAATACAATTAGGGGGATAGATATCATCAGATTGAATTTAGATTTGTCTCAAAATAAACTTTCATGTTATATCTTTTGTTTTAGATTCTTCGTGAGCATAACATCGCCGTGGTAAAGATAAAATGCGCCGGTGGGCCGAATGAAGTACCTTCGAGGGATCTACTGCAAACGTAAGTCTTTCTTTGGCTTGTATGTTGAATTGGTCAGTAGTAAATTTTCGCGAGTGGGGTCGAAGTGAACCAATAAAAACATCCGGAAAACCTGCGGTACATGCCGTTAAAGATTTAGGGCGCAATGAAAGTTTTAATGCTGTCATCATTCGACCGTTTCTGGCGTAAATTCCACCTATTACGGCTTTAGCGACTCTGTTCGACGCCGGCTCGGCTAATTTATTACGGCCTTTAAGGTATTTTGCGTTGCGAGAGTGAATTTAAGATGTCCCCGCGTTATCTCCGCAAGACCAAACAACAAACAAGAAGTATAAATTTTATTTGATTATTACAAGCTTCTTCAATGGCGTTGAACTAATAACAATTGAAATTCCTTTCGGACCAAAACCACTTTGAGTTGAATTGGAAATGTCAACTTAAGAAAATTTACTAAACTAGACATCACTTATTAGTGTCAATTTCGATTCGAAAGGTAGCGATTCGTTTCGAACAGATCTGGCGGGTATTGTTGGCCGTCCAGACGGTCGGGATAACTACAATGTATGGCCAACAATATGAGCGAGTACGATAATAAAATCTCGCAGTTTTACTTTGACGTCGACAATAACTGAACGTGCAAAAGAGCGCCAAGAACCTAAACTATTATGTGCGTAATATTAACGACGGACAAGCAACGTAAAATAAAAAAAGTCAAAATAAAAATTAAAGAGTTTAGCGCTAAAGGTTTATTATCGTTCGCACGGTAAATAACCAAATTATTCCCCGTCGTTGTACGGCGTCAATAGAGATTTAATGAGCGCGGCGGCGTCAAGGCGCAAATGGCCATATAAAATTTTCACCCACGCAACAAAAGGTTTTTACCACCGTTGGTAATGTGGGAAATTTTGTAATAGTATCTGCAATTAACCTACTTCGAAAGGGTGCTTATTGTACGGTGGTAAAAAATGTTTAAGTGGTTTGAAGGGGGTAAAAGTAAGATGAATAAAAGGGTTGGAAATGTTTTAAACAATGAAAATTTATTAAATAGGTTTGTAGTGTGCCATGCACCACACAAAGTGTGCCATGAAAAGTTGTTTTTAACAAAATGATTTGTTATATAATTTACAAAAAACAGATTAAAAAATAAATTATCCATTATAAGTACGAAGGCTTTCACGGCCGGTGTGAATTAAACTAAGATTAGAACTAAAACTAGAACTAACACTCGAAACTTTCGGGTTTTGCCGTGCGTCTTTTAATAAAAGGTTTGACGTTTCGGATGCCATGTTGCAACCTTCTTCAGAAACTAGTTCGATGTGACGAGATCAAAAATCGGTGACTATATACAGGATGTTTCATGAAGTTGTCCCGGCACTAATGAAGCATGTTGTTTAGGTGATTTGTAATAAAAAAGTTCATATGAACATATGTCCGATTCACTTCACTTATTGAGTTATATGAATTTGAAAATAATATTTAAAAATTATGGCGTTATGGCCCAGCGCACGGCTCAAAGGGTAGGTGTGCTATGACTGCATTAGTAAAATAGGGTACTTATTTACCTTACTATTAAATTTGACAAGCTTGCCGTTTAATCTAAAATTATTTGAGTTTTATTTGCGTACAATGCCGTTTAAATTTACGACTGTTGAGTATGGTAATATGGTTTTTGTATTGGGAAATTGTGATGGAAACGCTACTGCAGCTTCAATTGAATATCGACGACGTTTTCCAAATCGGCGTGTTCCATCGCCGAAGACTTTTAGTAGTACCTTCCAAGCTCTCCGAGAAACTGGTTTACTTCCGAGCGTTCATATGCAGTATGAACGAGCAACACAGCAGAATGTTGCAGAGGAAGACAACATCCTTGACATTGTCGAGCGCAATGCCTGCATTAGTACGCGACGGATATCCATACGTTTAGGGATTTCCAATACCAGGGTATGGAGAACATTAAAAAGAAATCTGCTGCATCCGTATCATCTACAGCGTGTTCAACATCTGAAGCCAGAAGACTTCCCTAGGCGTCAGTGGTTAAATAATAATCGGAACTTATACCGCTACATTTTATTTACGGATGAGTCACAATTTACTCGAGATGGCATAAATAACATCCATAATTTGCATAAATGTTCGGACATTAACCCTCATGCTACCATAGAAAGTAATTTTCAAAGCAGATTTAGCATTAATCTGTGGTGCGGAATGTTGTACGATCAACTTATAGGTAATTGCAATTTTTGGAAGAAAAACTTCCGCGTTTACTATGGGATGTACCTCTGGCAAGACGATTAAGAATGTATTTGCAACACGACGGAGCTCCTTCTCATTTTTACCGTAGAGTCACCGATCATCTAAATGAACGTTATCCTAACCGCCGGATCGGTCGAGGTAGACCGCACATTTGGCCAGCCAGATCTCGAGATCTCAATCCTCTGGATTATAACATGTGGTGTTGGATGAAAGATTTAGTATATCAAGAAAAAGTAGACACACGTGAGGCTTTAATCCAAAGAATTTTTGACGCTGCAACGCAAATAAAGGAGCACCGTGCAAAGATAAAAAATGCAACGCGAGCCGTTCACAGGCGTGCAGATAAGTGTATTGAAGTAGGAGGTGGAATTTTCGAAAATGTTTAAAATTAATAAATTATTTTTTCAAATTATAATAAAAAGTAACATTATCGCAATTACTTTATTTTTAAATGCATAAGTGTAGCTCAATAAATAAAGTGAATTGTCTTGCTCAATGCTTTTTTTTTTGTGGTC